TTCGTACATTGTATTGGACCAGCTTTCCCATTTGGATATATATTAATGTTTTTTTTAAAATTTTCGTTAAGAAAATAATTTATGGCCAATTAGTAATGTAATAATGTGAAAGTCTGAGAGAATATTTCTGATCTGGTCAATATCTAGCATGCAGAGAGCGTTTAATATATATAAAAAAATTCTTATTTAATAGAGATAACATGTGAAAGAGAGAGAATGTTTCATAAAATTATTAAAAAAATGCTTTTTTTTTTAAAAAAATTTCTTATGCCACCACTTATTTATTAGCTCAAGCGGCATGAAATGAACCGCTGATATTATTAATTAACCATTTTTAGTTTCAATTTATAAATAAATACATGCAGATGTCCCCAAAAAAAAAAAAGGCAAGTACAAGTTGAAATGCTAGCATCTTCCCCAGAAAAGTGTACGGATTCATTTACAATAATATTATATTTAATTAAAGTTTTAAATATTTTTGCTTTAATATTATCATACACCAAATTCGCGTTAAGATCTCATTTTTTTGTCAAAGAATTTTTAATCTCATTTTGACTATATATTGATTTCTTCTTCATTCCGAATAAGTAAATAAACAGTATTAATATTAATTTAATGGTGTTATCGTGAGGGCGAATATTAATGATTTGGTTAATCTAGGATGAAGAGATTAGAGAACGCTTCGTAAAATCTCAAATATAAATAAAAAAATATAAACAGTATTATTTATGAGTAGTGGCATGAAGTTAGTGCCTTTAATTTAAAAAAGAAAAGAAAAGAAAAGTGGCATGAAATGAAACTCATAATTTCTTAAACAATATTAAATTGTTCTTGTGCATCACCAGGAGATAAAAGTAAACTGTTTCTAGATTATAAATAGTTCATACTATTAGAATGTTTAATTAATACGAGACAAAAGTACTACTACCTCTAATTCTAATTATAAGACCCAATTGACTAATTTGATGAGATTAATAAAAGAAGTTAAGTTAGTTATTTGTAATAAATAGGTGTTGTCTTTCCCAAAATATCCTTATTAATCAACTATATTAGTTAGAACTACAATTATTAGAAGGACTACCTTGAAAAAATGCATAAATATGAGAGACAAAGTAGATTGTGGTCTTGTATTTAAGATCAAAATAAAAGTCAAATAGGGTCTTGTATTAAGGACCAGAGGTAGTATGTTAGAATCTTGATCATCTATTTTATACAAGGTTTTAATTTAGATCTTTAATTCTAAATTTTTTAAAAAACAATTTAACTCTAATACTGTCAGCCTCAAAGAATAATGTCTTATAGCAATACATCATTGTAATTTTTAAAATTATTATACTTAATATATTAATAACATTTAACAATGTTTCGCTAATATTTAAAAGTTAAGGTAAGCATTAGTACTTTATAAGTTAATTATGAAAAACAAAAATAGAATCAGCTTCTCATTTTCAAATATTATATTTTTGCAAAAAATTTATTTTAACTGAAATTATAGTAAATATATGCAGAATTAATATTGCCGGAAAAAAAAAAAAGAATGATGAAGAACTAAATTCAGTAGCTCTGACTTAGCTTATAACTTATAAGGAGCCATAATATTAATTCAAAATTTTTGTCCAATAAAACTTTTATAAAAACTTTTCAAAATTGAATAGCATGAAGGGCAACTAGTCCTAATCCTAAGAAAATAAGAGGAGGTTTCTTCAATTTTTTTTTACTTTTAAATTTTCTTCGAATTTTACAAAATATGGTTTTGAATTTTATTACAGTGTATTCCAATGAATAAAATAATCTACGCTAGAATATTGTATGTGATGATAAATCAATATATCATAAACGAAAAAAACATCATTTATTGTCTATAATATGTTACTATGATATTAAATAATACTCTTCATTCATATATTATGGATTAAAAATACTTTATCAATGATGTATTTTGTTTTAAATATTAGAATTTATAATAAAATAATACAGAGTAATGAAAATTGAGTGTGAAGTTCATGCTGGCAGCCACGAACGATTACTTAAAGAGGAAGGCTAATTAAATTAAATAAGCAATTAATTAATTTGCAGCAACTTGTATATTTATTTTGAGGCTAATTTAGCAGCCATCCCACAAAGTCTCCAATCGTACTTTTTCGTAAAGTATTTCTTTCTTCGATGACTTTGTTATTTTTGAATGTATCTAATTTGGGTGGCTTTGGGAAAAGTTACCTCTGAAGTTTTGAAGAAAAGAAAAATCATATGGTACGGTCTTTATTTTGAAAGTTTCAAAATTTTAACTTCAGTTTTTTTTAAGAAATCTCTATAATGATATACGATATAAAATTTTAAGCACACTATTGTAGTATTATTTTTTGCTAAGTATTATTAAAATATCATATATTTGTAAACAATGGATTGCTATATATTTTTTTTCTGTGGGATTACAATAGATTCTATGATAGTTATTAGTAACACTTAAATTATTTTTTTAAAGAATAATAATTAAGAGATTATCTTTATTTTTTATTCTATACCTATTAAAATAATTATTTTACAAAAATAAAAATAAAATAAAATTTGGACCATCCAAATCCGATGAGCACATAGTTATTACTAACACTTGAATTATTTTTTAAAAGAATAATAATTAAAAGATTATCTTTATTTTTTATTCTATACCTATTAAAACAATTATTTTAAGAAAATAAAAATAAAAATAAATTTGGATGGTCCATATCTGATGAGCACTGGGTGCTCATTCTTTTTTTGATGTGATGTATTATTTATTTATTTATTGCTAGCTTTATTGAGTAGTTTTTTAAAGAGATTTTCTGCATTCACCCGGATTTAAACTTGAGACTTTATGTTTAAGTAGTTAAAACCCCTACTAGGACCAATGTCTATTGGTGGTAATTTTTAAAAAATAAAATAACGCTTTTTTTTTCCTAACAAAACTAGAAATAATACTGAATACTTTAATATGTTAAGAAGTTATCTTTTAAGTGAAATGTATATATACTAAGTTATTTTGATCATATAATTTTTTTTTATTTCTCAATCAAGTAAATTTATACCCAGAGAATCCGCTTCACAACTTGACATCGTCTAAGTAAAAGTAATGGACCTTATTTTATGACATTTTGAAGTCAAGTGAGACATAATTAACGGGTTGACGCATGACATGGCTACATGCAATGTATAAGGGAAAATACTACTCCTCCGGTCCTTATTATAAGACCCAATTTGACTTTTTATTTGGTCCTAATTATAAGACCCAATCCATTTTGTCTCTTATATTTATGCATTTTTTTCCAAGATAATCCTTCTAATAATGATAGTTTTAGCCAATATACTTAATTAGCAAGGATATTTTAGGAATGATAACACTTATTTATTATAAATAACCAACTTAACTTACTTCCTTAATCTCCTCAAATAAGTCAATTGGGTCTTATAATTAGGACCGGAGGAGTATATAAGTTGCTTATAGAGAAGATAATGACAGAGATTCCTTAAATTTTAGAAAATGATCATATATGAGTTTTATTGTTCTTAATCATTAAAATACAGGGGGGAAATTAATGGATAAAAATGCTCTCACTTAATCCACAACATATCAACGCTTATAAACTTAGTTATAATTGCTTAATAATTGAATCATGAATTTTTTTAAAAAAGTGTGTTGTAAATTATAAAAAAAATAAGTTTAGATATAACATAAATGGAGTTATGAATTTAACAAAATTAACTACATATATAGATTGAGTAGATTGAGATTGCATCATCACATTTGGTGTCGTCATCTTATGAAACTAATGTGATGTAGTTTTATGAATGTTTGAAGTCAAGTCAAAAAGTTGACCGAAAAACAAGTAACAATTCTAATCTTGTTTTGTAGGTGAGAAAGCGAAAACTTGTTAGGCAACCACCACCTCTACATTTGGTCTTAAATCAAAAAGTTAATTTGAAATTTAATTTGGTACTAAATATAAAATCTCAATTCACTTTGTCTCTCAAAATAGTCCCTATCATACATGTGAAATGATTTTCATTTTAATGTATATGATTAATAAAAATATTTTAGAAAAAACAACACTTATTTATTATAAATAACTAACTTAACTAATTTTTTTAATATTCATAAATTAGTTATGTAGCTTTTATATTAAAAATCAAAAGTAACAGTGTCTAATGAGAATTGGATAGGAGGTTTTTTATAGTTTCTTGGAAACTGCTTTGCCTTTGAAGCTAAAGAATGAGCGTTATTTAAAGGGAATTACTACTGCTTGGAATCTTGGCTTGAAGAGTACCACGTTTTAATTTGATTGCTAACTATTCATGGATAGAGTTGGCAATGACGTGACATCAAAGTTTGTGTTGTTCACAATTGGAGTTTGTATAAAAGAGATGATGAGATGGAACTGGACAGTTCTAATACAGTGTACTCGCAAAAAGTCAAATATGGCTGCTGAGATTATTGCTAAATAGAGTCTTTGCACGACAAAGAGATACTACTTCATTGACGTGGCTCCTGAATGTTACGAGTGCCATGTAAAATGACATTTTAAAAACCCCACCTTTAAGCAACATGTAATTTGATTGGGCTTAGTCTTGTTTTATGTTTTTAATAAAACACTCCACAGCAGGAAATAATAAACAAGATCTTCCAAAAAGGTTAAACAAAAGAGGACAATAAATTAAAAAGTTTTGAAGAGTCATGACAGTTAGCACATGGATCTTGTTAGACTATGTTAAGTGTCATTCCTCCCATCCTTAAGTTCCACCTATTTGGAAGATCAAATCAAAATATTAAAATCTAAATCCAAGAAAGAAGACAGTAGTCATTAGTCAATTATAAGATATGGAAACTGTTTCAGAAATGGAACCAGCCTCAGGAGGAACAGCTCCAGGTAAGACAGTTAACTTTCCTTTCTTCAAACATCTATAGAACTCAGATCATCCTTGCAATGGGGTTCACTAAAACTGATTAAGGCAAAGAAAAACAATTGAAATAAGAAATATCACAGTAAACGACAACAATAATAATATCACAACAATTTGACCCAAGACAATTTATTGCACATGCATTGTCTTTTGTCCAAACTGACAACTACAACTATTACTTACAGGGCACTAAGGAGCATCTGAGGACTAAAATGCATCCAATGATAAAGAACAAAAGTTAAGGACACAATTTTTTAAGCATCTGCCACATAGAATTCACAAGTAATGGCCACTACACAGATTGCTGTCCTAAATTTTGGAATGCCACAATTGCAAGAGTAACAAGGGATGCATAAACCGAATTGGGTAGCCTTTGTACCACCTTCCCAACACCTGGTACACCTTCAGTACTCCTCTTTGTTGCTACTGCAACTGCTGGTGCGACAACCAGAGTGACAATAAGCCCTTGACTTATGACTGTGAACGTGTCCCCTCTCATCCGCTTAATGAACAAATAAAACTCATCACGGTCGATTGCCCCATCGAGATTGACATCACATTCCTGCAAGTTGTTATAAAATGAGACGACAAGAAGTTCCTAATTACAGACAATAACTGATACATGGGAATCAGGGACAAGGTCACTGAACAGTTACTCATTACACCAATCGACCCTCCTATCTGTAGTCTTAATACCCATATTCCCAAACTACCTCCGACCTTACACCTAATTCCCATGTATCAATAACCACGTATAAGGAAAGCTCTTACTGTAACTGAAGCAGTTGAAAGACTCAAAAGAAGCATCTGTATAAACAGATTCGGATGCATATTATTATTTATTACCCAGATCTTTAGATTGAAAATATGGTTGATAATGATAGGTTAGGAGTTATCGTGACAGGACATATGCAACCAATCTGGTTTTGTTACTCTGTTTTATTAAAATGAAATTGAAAAAAAGAAGCATTGACATCACCATTGAAGTGAGAAACACCTCATGTGCCTAATATTATCCATAATCTTGAGAATCAGTATGAACTGATTAAGAAAATATGACACTACGTTTTACTAGTCACTTTCAAATTGACAAGAAAATCGATAAGAATGTCAAGTTTAATAAACAGCAAATCACTTTCAAGCTGACAAGAAGCACAAATTTCTTACTAACCTTGGTCACTTCAATTTAAAATGCAGACAATTTCTGGTCCTAGATCGATGTTGGGTTTTTCTATAATTCCATTTGTTTTCACTTTAATAGTGACTGTCTTAGCTAGATTCCGCCATCTTTGTATTAAAAGTCTGAATTCTAGGTTCCTTTAACATGATTAATTTCATCACAAGATATTCCCTTTCTGTTGATCTTGTGAATCACAAAAGATCTTCTAGTCCTTCCTTCACGTGGTCGGTCAGCTTGGGCGTCAAAAAGTTAACCTTCTTTCCCAACAGAACGATATACTCTTCTCATGTTCAGGGACATTGTAGCTTCTAAACAAGCAGGCTTTTGAAAGATAATCATTTTTAAAGTAAAAGCAACAGGGGAAGATACAATAGGGAGGAGAGGAACAAAACTATGTAATTTTACCCAATGTAAAAATAATACTGATTTATAAGCCTGAAGCCCTAAGCTTCACATAGGCAAAACTAAGCATGTGCCGAAGCCATGGAAACAATATCACAAACAACCCCTGACATCAAGCATAATGAAGAGGAAATAACAATCAACAAAGAAAATACAGTTCCTAAAATTAAGCCATTTGACCCTCGCTCATATGTTTGCGCCTAACATAGGCCTTCCATTTCCTTTAGAATCGCCAACAGTTTCACTAGGTGAAAACTTCAGTAGCTTTGCTTTCTTTTACAAGACAGAATTTTACTTCTTCATCGGGAAACCCTTATGTGCTACCTCTTTCTAACAGCCTTCCAAAATAGACTTCCTCACTCAGATAAACTCAAAGTTGGATATATCCTTAAATATTTATTTGAACACAAGAATCCTTACAAATTAATTACCTAAGTAAAAGACCAAAGCGGTGAACAAGTTCAGTCATCAGAAGTATAACATTGTCCCTGGTTTTTGTTGGCTGAAGAATTTGAAATTATAACTGTGAATGGTGGTAAAGTTCCCAAAATTTGTAGCCCTCAACTAGAATTTCAGGACAGCAATTCCAAACTTATAATGATTCAAAAATCTTCATACAATATTGATCATACATTGAGGTCATGAGAAGATTATGAAATGGTTTGATGCTAGCATGTGTCCCGACTCTCACCCATCAAATAACGCTTAACCAAATATTCCGCATCCCTAAATTCTGGATCCTCAGATTTCCCACCAGAAAGGCAAAAGGGTGCCCAAAAGCATAAAACTGAAGCTTCTAAGCTATAAACCCTACTTAAATGGTATACCTGAGCCCTATTTAATTTTTCCTTTTTTTGATTCATAATAAAATTATCCATAGTTTTAAAGTGATCTTATAAAGATTGACACTGAAACGGTGAAGGGGAGGAATCAAAGTTGGGAGTGAAGCTGATGAATCACCTATCATGAGGGGGAAAAAACAAAAATTTTAAGCACGTACAAATCATTAAATGACAGAGAAACAGAGTGCCAGCACATAGATCCAGCTCCACAGAGCAGTGGTTTCATATATGTAAATTAAGATACCACAAAGTTTTGTCCCAGCATCACACAGAAAATGTACCTGAATGACTTCTCTGACTTTGTCTTTTGGTGGAGGATCAAAATGTGGACCAGGCAAATACTTATTGAGATCACTACAACATTTAAACAGCTCAATTTTAGAGGGCATTATAGAATTTTGTCAACTAAACTAGAATACTTGTTGATGTTCAGAGATCAATTAGTTAATTAGTCCAATTTCTTGAGTAGCCCAAGTAATAAGATGTTGTGATTTGATAAGATTCGTTCTTGGTCAGGTTGAGCCGTTTGGCTAACTTGTCAGTGGGCTAGCCCAGTCTATAAAGAGAACGTCAGTATAAGCACAATTATTGGTTTGGAGGATCTGTGCTCTTACCCTCTTTCTTTTTTCTTCAAGTAAAATGGGAATTTCATTACTCACAGAATTACATTTAAAAAAAAAAAACAGAAAAAGAAAAAGAAAGAAGCAGCATTTGGCTTACAAAAACACATGCCAGCAGCAAAGCAACTATACGAAGCGTTTTTGCTCTTTTTCATTAAAGTTAGTATTCATTTTTTTCCAGTTAGCTTTGTGGTTGGGCCATCTGATACATGAACAATGCTAAAAAAATCATGAAGCAGATGTCTTACTTGTAAACGAGTAAAACAGCAATATACAGATCTTCAAATGTCAAATCAGCCTTTCCAGATTGATTCATAATACGGTCAAAAACTCGATCTGTTATCTTCCTTATTTGTCTGTGCCTCCACTCCTTACCTGTTTTTGGAGTCAGCATAGTCATAAAAGCAAGGGCATCACCCATCACAACTTTAAATGAAGTGTCTTTGACTTAGAATAGCAAAAGAATATTAGATCATCATAAGAGCAAGGGCATCACACATCACAACTTTAATGAAGTGTCTTGGACTTAGAATGGGAAAAAAATATTAGTTGTGCTATGGTGAAATGATGGCATGGTTTATGGAGTAACAAGTTAGGGTTTCATATTATAGTACCTTCAGTTTGTTTATCTAAAACCTCTTTGTCTTCAATTAATCAAAATACCCTGAGGCTGTGACAGTGGGATTAGCGAAAACAGTGTCTGGTTCTCTTGTTTTCTCTTTTATATCACTAACTGAAGATTAATTTTCAGCAGAAACCAATTATAAAACTTCGTTCTCTGATTAAAGTAATTTTCTCTTGTTTTGCTGTCAATACCTCAGAGTAATCCATACTAACTGCAGTAAACACTGGTAGTACAAAACCCGTCACGCAGAAAAAGGGAAAATACAACAACAGAACTGAATCTGTAATTTCTAAGCAAGTAGCACAAAGAAAGTTAACATGAATTAGCAGGACACAACAGAGAACTAATAAAGCTTCAAGATTTCAGCCCAAAAGCAAACTCATCAGGTACTCTTCATTTTAAGTTTTAACCACTTATGTTTCCATCATTTGAGCCTGATCTCTGAGAACAAAAGGACAATCCACACAAACAGAGAAGTAACAGCAAGCGACAAAGGGAAAATGCAAAGGAGGAGAAAGAGAAGAAAAAACTATCCAGGAATCACTGAATCTGCGTGAATAGGAGTAAAATGCTTCAAATGAAACAAAGAAAGGAAAATAATCGAATCAAGAAGACAGCCAATTACCCTGAAGCCTGCCCAAGACTTGCCCCATGATGAAACACTCGGTTTTGGAGGATTCGAGATAAGGTCAAAAGCTGAAGGTTTTGAGGAAGAGGACTTCAGGCTTACTGATATTTTTGATATCTTATTTTTTTTTTTTTGACCAGGATTTTGATATCTTATTCTTACTACATGATCATGTGGGATTGATCTTTCTTTCATTGGGAGAACCGTCACGTCAAAACTTGTTAATTTTCTCCCCAGATTTTTATATATGTGTAAGTTGGACGAAAGACACCAAATTTGTAAACTGGGGACTCAACTATGCCGCTCGTTGTCTGGATCCGTAATGATCGCTCGTTGCATTCCCACGCGGAAAATATAAAAATGGAAAAATGACATCTAAGTCGCATGACAAAACATCCAAGGAAATGACTTGATGCCTTTAATGAAATTAAAATTTTGGGCAGATTTACATAAATGCTCTTTCATATTTATAAGAACTTCAATAGAATTTACTAATTGGCTGCTCGCAGTACGCATACGTGACTTGTATCGGAAGGCTGGGATCAGGGTAAAACGTCGGATGTCAGGTGGCGAGATTTTCTCTTATTAAAAAAAATCAATAAAGTTTTACTTCATTAATCAAAAGTCTAACATAACCTTTCACCCGGAAAAAAAAAAAGAAGCTTAAAGCTGTGATTATATTAGCGGTAGCAAAATTAATTTTTATTTCTCTTGATTTTTATAATGATGGGTTAAAATAAAAGTCAGTCAGTGTACTATAATTTATATTTGAATTGACTTTCATAAAAATGTCAATTTAATAAATTAAAATTTGTTTACATGATTAATAAAAACAGGTAAGTCTATATATAAAATAACTGAAAATAACATAAATTTTGTTAAATAATATATATGCCCACATGATAATTTAAGAGAAATATAAGAATTAAAAATTGTTTTTTATTTGTGTTGAAAATGATATACTACCTCTAATCATTAACACATGACCCATATAATTAATTTGAAAAAAATTAAGAAAGTTTTTGAATTATTTAATTATAACATATATTATATAATCTATCTAAAATACTTATATGTATTATTATATTTTATAACAATTTATAAGTGAGAGAAATTACTTTTAAAAAAACTATAAATTTTTTTTTTATTTTTTCCCCTTTCTATTTGTATCTTTTCTTTTCCCCCATTAGATTAGAGAATTGTGAGGGGCCACATGAGAAACACGTGGGCCAGCAAATTTTCATTATTCACATCTTCACTGTTTCGTTTGGGGCACACCGTTCGTCATTTCTTTCAGCTGGAGGATCGCGACTGAAGCCGGACAAAAGAGTGGAGAGGGCGAGAGCGTCTGGTCTTCATCTTCTCTAGAAGGTGAGCTTGATGGGCTGTGCAAGGATGCTAGAGATGGGGACTGGTTCATGCTACTGAACCTTCTTCAAGTGCGATTCAGACAGAGAGAGAGGCCGCCATATTGCTTTGATTCTTCTTGAAGTTTGACAAGTTTGGAAGAGCAGAAAGAGAAGAGGCAAATCTAGGTAAATAAATACACCTAACGGTAGATTGGCTTTTACAACCACCCAACGCTGTCACCTTGACGTTTTCCCACATCTCAACGTGCCGCTCGTTTCTTCCAAAAACTAGATAGAAAAGAAGCCAGTCCAAACAAGCCTTTGACTAAATAGCAATCCAAACATAGTGTAATCTAACTATTCTCCTTTCTCCATACCTGGAACTGACAGAAACATACAGAAGCTTTAAGTTGACAATTTATTTAAAATTTTGGTTATTGAAAGAATGCCCGTGAACTATGCAGCCTCCATCTGGGTTTGAAGTGGGCTGTTATTTTTATTTATTTGCATAAATGCTCTTTTGAAAAAATGGAAAAAAAAAAATTGTACCAAAAAAATGAAAAAAAAAAAATTCTTCCTCCACAATTGCCAACCTTGAAACCATCACCATAAATCATTATACTCCTCCGGTCCTTAATATAGGACCTAATTGTTGAGTTAGTTTTGGTCCTAAATATAAGACCCATTTATCATATTTATCAATTTTCTCTAAATTACCCTTATGGATACTCTCTCAATCATAATCAAGTAGAAGAGGTAGAGAGGGTATTAAGAAAGATGATTATGATGTTTTAGGAAAAACGTGTCACATTTCTTATAATTAACTAACTTATCTAACTTTCTTAATCTAATCAAATTAGTTAAATGGGTCTTATATTAAGGACCGGAGGAGTATGTGCTTGCTTATAGCTGCTTATGTTTGCTCATAAATATGCTCACTATCCTTATATACTTCCCTCATGTTTTATAAATTACTATCAAAAAGCTGTCTTTTTTGTTTTTATTTTATTTTATTTTATTTTTTTGAAGGACGCTGGCTCGGAGAGACTCTTAAGTGGATAAAGCAGAGGGTAAGAAATGACACTCTGCTTTTGCGTTTTTCCCCCCTCCCTTCTTCCATATGAAGAAGTTGCTTCCCGTGAAAATCAATTTCCCCAAACACACACATATATGACATAAAAGTGCAAGACATTAACTCAGTAGGGAAAATAAGAAATCAAATTAAAGCAACACAAAAGCCCTTCATTTTGTCAACGGGAAGTCGTAAACTTCACTTCATGAGAACATAAAGCCTGGCTCTGAAGTCCTAAGGAAGGCTTAACATGAGTATAAGAAGAAACAGAGTTGAAAGTTTTATTGAATAAGTTGTAGGGAAGTTTAGTTGTTATAAGAGATCCTTTGCAACCAATTACGGAGTGCCACAATTGCAAGAGTGACAAGTGATACATAGAGTGATTTGGGAATCTTTTTTGCAATCTTGCCAATAGAACCTGGGAGGCCTTCAATAGCTCTCATTGTTGCCAATGCAACCATTGGTGCCACCACCAGAGTCACAATCAGCCCTTGACTTATCCTTGTGAATGTATCCTCTGTCATCCTCTTAATGAATTCATAAAACTCATCACGGTCAATTTTCCCATCTGGATTCACATCACATTCCTGCATATTAAAACTTTGTCACTCAATCACACAATGTTCTTATACTCACATGGTTTTGCATTAGCATAACAGCAAATAAATAAATAAAGGTTAAAGGTTATTTTTGTCCTAAAAGTATTTCTGAATGAACTGTATATATTCGAAAGTGTTTTTTTTTTAAGATTCAATTTGCTTTGGAAGTATTAAAAAAGAAGCGATATACATAACCTTTTCATCAAAAAATTAATTTTGATTTTGCCAAAAAAAACTAACATTGATTGCTAACATTTTTAATTTATAAGGGCGATACTGAGGGGAGAAAAACCTCTGAGTACCCATGGCTTCTTTGCGAATATTTTTAAGGAATAATTAATCCTTAGCCTGAAATTAGTATCACACCAAGAAATTAAAAGATCAAGGGCCAGTTTTATCTTAAAAGTATCTGTAAAAAGGCTATGTATCTAGGGGTTTTTTTTGGGCAATATCACCTCAAAAAGTATTGAAAAATGAGCAATATAGCCTGTTGTGTTTAAAAAAAAACTAATGTTGGTTATTAACATTTCAAAACCAAAGTGGTCATTGACCCGAGATTAAAGTAGGTACCTTCATGACTTGTTTGACTCTATCTTTTGATGGAGGGTCAAAATGAGGACCAGGCAGATGCTTATTAAGATCACTGCAACATATAATTAAACAGTTCAACTAGAGAAGGCATATAAGATATAGCAGAAAATTGTCTACTGGCGAAAACAACAACAACAACAGAAAACTGTCAGCAAAATTTGAGAGAATCATGAAGGACATCATTAGTCCTTACTTGTAAACAAGTAAAACAGCAATATACAGATCTTCAAATGTCAAATGAGCAGTTTCGTCTTCCTTCTTCAGACTTTCAAAAGCTTTATCAGTTATCTTCCTTATTTTGCTTTGCCTCCACTGCTTATCTGTACACAGTCATTTACAAAACAAGACCATTACACACACACACACACACAGAGTATATCACAACTTTGCTAGTTGAAGTGTCTTTGATCTATGATCAGTTTACTTATTGAAAACAGTTTTTGATTCTCTTGTTTTCAATGGATCTGCGTGAATAGCCGTAAAAGACTTTTTAGATGGAACAAAAACAATAAGAAGGTATAGGGCATTACCCTGAAACCTGTCTAAGACTTGGCCCATAATGATGCTGAAAGTTGAAACACAAATTAAACACTGTGGCTTTGAAAGATATATGCATGCGTGCGCGCGCGCGCGCAGGAACACGTACAGGTAGATTCTTACTTATATCTTACTCAAAACAATATAGTGGCAAAGGCACCCAACTTTAATTTCTCTTCAAGGGATCCATAGGTGGATTCATTGATAACAAGAACATGTTCTTCATTGTTCTTAAGGAAAGCATAATTCCTACGTATTTCTCTTCACTGTTTCTAAGGAAAGCATATTTCTATTCTCAATATTTCTTTGGGTAGTGTTTGGGATTTTTTTTTTCTTTTTAAATTTTTAAGAATGGAATGAAATGAAGTGAAATAGTCAAGAATAATCACTAGAGGCCATTTATTTGAAAGAATTTTTTTGGGCACCTCAAATTGTTGAGGGAAGGATGGAAAGAATGTTTTCGTAAGGGTTTGCATCACTTCATTTGAGTCCATACTTGTGGATTCCCAACAACAACAAAACCTTAATATAAAAGCTACAACAACTCCGTTAAATTCTATCTAAGTCTTTGAATATATTGTTAATTGAAAGATCTCGCTTAATAATTTTATAAAATATTCTCTTTAACCTTACCTACTCGTTTTAGAGGATTTCATGCTATTTGATCAAATTTTCTTACCGGCACGTTCAAAGGCTTTCTTTGCACATAACTAAACCATCTCAATCGATTTTCTACCATTTTCTCATTGATAGCAGCCACTCGCATACATATGCTCATTACAAATTCTATATTTTCTTGTATGATCACACATTCATCTTAGTATTTTCATCTAGGTGACCTCCACTTTATATTGTCCTTTTAAAGCCTAACACTTCCTACCATATAACATTGCTGGTCTTGTAGCAGTGCCTTAGTTGATCAGAAATTCAGAATCTTGTGCTAACCAAGTAAAATCCTTTTCTGCATTTGATTGTTTCTCTTGTTTCTGAAAAAGAATAGTCTTCCACACAGATCTATCCTGGCAAGAATCCAAAACTGGAGATTGCAATCTCAAAGGCTTGCATCCTTTCTCCGCGAGCAAAACCATTGCGATCGTAGGACGATATTTCATTTATGTTGAGTTCAACGCAGGCTTTGACAAGTTCCTCCCCAACACGTTGAGCAGCTTCAATATTGGAACAAGGGGGATCTTGTCGGATAGATTTCTGCAATGTACTTCCATAGAACAGACACTTTTTGTTTTGGTCATCAACCAGCATTGCATACAACTGCTTCTCTGAGCAAAATACAGAAAGCCTTGGTCTTCTTGGTGTTCCATCAAACTTCTTCTGCTTCCTTCTGTTCCGGATTTTGGCACTCTCCTTTCTAGCATTTGCTCTAGCTTCGACAACCAGTCGATTCTTGATCAAAGCTGCCAAAAAAGGGGAAAAAAAAAAAAAACTCTTCACAATAACAATTATCTGAAGCCTTGTGCAAAACAACCTTAATACATTAGTGTCGCTTAATCAATTTCAGAATATAATGAACCTATAATCATATAAGAAACCTAAATTCCAACCTCACAACACAAAATACCAATTGGGAAGGGTAAGTTGTGAAGAACTTACTTCTTCTCAGCGAAAGAGAGGAAACAAAAGGCTTTAATTGTACTCCAAAGACTGCAGAATTTGGAAATCGAAGCGCAGGAACATTCACAAGGTCCATATTATGTAGTTATATTCAAAAGGAAACAAGAGTGAAAAGCTGAGATGCCAATGCAGGACTCACTGAACCCTTACCCTGCCAAGCCACGGCGATGAAACATACTATGAAGAGTAAAACTTGCGCTTCGAGGATACAACGCAATGCTAAGTTTCTCACAGTAATTTCAACAAACACTTGGTGCGCACGTTGATTACTTCTCCCGTAGCATCAAAGTAACACTCTGCAAAAAGTGTTGCTGCAATTTATCCCTTAAGGCTTCGGCTTGAAAAGAAGACCGACCAATTCTCGTAACTATTAGAAGAGTTTATCAATATTCTGCCGCACCTAGCATGACGTGAACCTCGTTTACTAGCACCATCACAATTTACCTTTCATTAATCCAATCCCTGTTTGGGGGTGATAATGCTTTGGGGATTCAAGCTGCAGTGACAAATCATCCCTCTTTTTCTCAAATCGCTAGCAATAGTAATCAAAACGTGGTTTGGTGTTTTCAGGCTTTCAGCGCAGCTTCCCTCAGCTGACGATAAAGCTTGCCCCCAGGTGCTAAAACGGGCCACGACCTTGCGCAGGTGACTTGGCGCACCGCGCCCGCCAAGCTGGACGGAAAGATTCATAATAAAGTACTAGGGGCTGCTTAGTACTAATTGGGCTACAAGGCCCAACATGGCTACCATCTAATTGACCCGTGTGACTTGTATTGGGAAAATATAATAAGTTTAACTCCATTAATTATGTATTTGGCCCAAAAAAAAACTCCATTAATTATATAATGGAATGTTGCGCCAAATTCTAGAGTACTTCATTTTGCTTATTTCATTAATAATCAGCCCATTTTATTCTACAGTATACATTTTGAGACGTGTCAATGAGAGAGAATGAAAAAGAGTGAGAGTGGAAAATGTCAAGGTCAAACCAACTAATAAACGAAGATTAATCAATAAAATAACTTTGGGTTTCAAAATAAAAGAGAAGTTAGAATATAACATTGAGTTTGTTTAAAAGTTAAAAGAAACACTGAGTTTGAAGAGAGATCTACATATAGATTTCGAAATAATTTGAACAATGTGCTATAACTAAAACAAAATTAATACAATATAATAAAGAAAAAGAGACACTAATTCCATTTCTTTTTATAAGAAACAATCTCTCTCATATTACAGTTTCTAAATATAAAAAAAATTTTTTTTGTCTGAAATATCAAATTAGTCTTTTTATTTTCGGCTTTATTAAATATACATTACTTATTATCTCTGCAATAAATTTTCATTCATTATCTCTCATGTGCTCTTTTTATAAAGATATAATTAAAAGATATGTGCATATTATATTGCATATTTATTGTTTTTAATTAAATTTAATTAAAATTTTAAAATATGTAATTTTAATAGTTGTTTCTTATAATAAGGGACCAAAAGAATAATATATTGGCTTGATCTAACATTTGCCGTGGCCCAAAAAAAAAAATCTAACATTGGTCACAAGGCCGACAAGCATTAATTATGACATCCAAATCACCGAATCTTTTAGAGATATCATCCGTGGAAATTAGGATACATCTTTTCAGAATTTGGCTTTAGAAAACAGCCATCTCCCATCACGCCCGCCTACATCCACGTGTAGGTTGAAAAGACTTCACTAAAGCAACAAAAATAAACAAATAATTAGTAATAAATTAACCGGCACATTGTACATGTGATGTAACTAACTAATAGCGAGGAATGGACAATTATATTGTTTAAGATTAATCATTATAATACTGATGTTGATTTCAAGATCAACAAACCTAAACGTGCCCCTCAAAAATTAACTACTCCTCTGGTTCTAAATATAAGGCTCATTTTGTAGCGCAAATTACACTACGAAAATGATCTTATATTTAGGACCGGATTTAAACTATAAAAAAAGTTTTGTATTTAGGATCGAGGGAGTAATATCTAGTCAATACATAGCAATTAAGGTTATTGATTCTTTTTTTACCTTTTTTGGCCAGAACGTTTATTCCTTTTGATGATATCATCATGACAAATATAAAAATAAATCCATTTAAAGAATCAAACTTGGTTGAGTTAGCATTTAGTTTAAGTTACTTACTATTTCATCACCTTTTCTATTTTTTATGCTATTTATATATGTTCGTTTGTTGAAGTCTCAACACAAACTAGCTTAGTCAAATCCAAGCTGAGTGTTAGTTCAACCACCATTATATATGAATGCTCACCACAAGCCAAGGAAAACATATAGTCATGGTCAAATTATTTTATAGTTTATATATATATGACTCATGCTTTATAATTCTTCCTTAAGGATCTTGAAGCTCGTTTTTATTACTTTTACAATTTTCCTAAAAATATATCTACTAGTATTTAGAGAAGAAAATGTTGTTGCGTTATTGTGTGTGTGTAAGCGGAAAAAAAAAAAAAAGAATTTGTGCAAGTATCAATTGGAAGAGGGGGAGATTTTCTTTTAAATTCAATCAAAATGCTCAAATGTGAAATTGGTTTGCTAATTAAGTTTAACAACTCCCAAATCTGTCTAAAGGAACCAATTTCAGATCTGTGAATGTTCTTCTTTCACTATATTGTCCCTCGTTTTTTTTTCTTTAAGAAAAAAAAGCTACTTCTGTGGGTGGTCAAACTGGTAATTGGACAATTTGCCGTTCACAATAACAAATTAGAGTTACTAACAATAGCGCTTTAGATACTCACAAAAATATATGGGAGAATTACAATCAGCTTACAAAAAAAATTATTAAAAAGTTTCAATAACAACCTAAGTGGCTTGTAATGATAAGTTTCAAAGTAAAAAATGACAATTTTTAGGATTTATTTTGTAATTTTTTTTTGAAACTTCATTATAATTCTCCGAAAATATATTAACTATATACTACCTCTGATTCTTAATATAAAAGCTAATTCGACATTCAATTTAGCTTTAAATATAAGATTTTAATATACTTTATCTCAGAAAATTTATTTATTTTTTTAAAGTAATCTTTGTGGTAATCACACATGTTAAATATTTACATCAAATAAAAGTTCTAACTAATACACATGATTGGTATTTTAAGAAAAAACAACACCTATTTATTACAAATAACTAAATTAATTAATTTTTAATTTAATCAAATTAGTTAATTAGTTTTTTTATATTAAGAACCGGAGATAATATGTGTTTGTATTAACAACTTCAAGCAACATTTTTACAAACTGACTTACAAAACTTCTTGTATAAGCCAATCACAACACATAATTAGCTATTAATAATTCACAAAAGCCAATTAACTATTTACAAACTTTTGACTTTTGGTCATCTGACTAGACACGATTTACCGTCTTGTATAGGTTCGTTGAGATTTCTAACAGTCAAAGGCTTATTAGACCACGTGCTGAAATTCTTTTGCCACATAATAAGAGTACATAATTGAAAATGCATCTTTTCCTCTTTTCCCTTTTTTTTTTGGATATTTTAATTACCCAAAATCCCATCATCCATTAATTTTTATGTTAATCATCATTTATTTTTTTAATAAAGGTATTGATAATTACGGTATACCTCTGTTACTTAATATAAGAGTTAATTTGACTTTCAATTTAGTTTTAAATATAAAACTCCAAGCTTCTTATATTTGTCTATTTTTTTCAAGTTAGTTCTTATTATAATGACAGTTCTAGCTAATACATTTAATTAGTATAGGCATTTTATGAAAGACAACACATGTTTATTGCGAATAACTAACTTAACGAATCTTTTTAACCTATTTAAATTAGTCAACTAATTTTTATATATTCAGGATAAGAGGTAGTATATAGATATATAATGTTCCATACGTTCGTGGTGTTCGAATATTTCTTATGATGAAGAATTTGAAGCTTAATACACTAATGTCATTATCCATTTAGAGTTGTCCCCTTCACGGGGTTCCTTGTGGCTCTCACTGAAAAAATCGGGGAAAATGGTCCCATTTTTTTCAAAAGAAAATAAGCCGACACCAAAAATGGGATTACATGTAATACTATCTCCTATCCTTAATATAAGAGTTAGTTTGACTTTTAATTTGATCCTAAATATAATACCCAAATCTATTTTATCTCTTATATTTATCTATTTTTCTTAAGATAGTCTTTGTAGTAGTTACACATGTTAAATGTTTTATCAAATCATAGTCTTGGTTAATAAATATGATTAGTGAAGGTATTTTAAAAAAGACAATACCTATTTATTGCAAATAACTAATTTAACTAATTTTCTTAATCTATTCAAATTAATTAACTAACATATATATATATATATATATATTAAGAATCGGAGATACTCCTCCGGTCCTTATTATAAGACCCAATTTGACTTTTTATTTGGTCCTAATTATAAGACCCTAATCCATTTTGTCTCTTATATTTATGCATTTTTTTCCAAGATAATCCTTCTATAATGATAGTTTTAACCAATATACTTAATTAGCAAGGATATTTTAAGAATAACAACACTTATTTATTATAAATAACCATCTTAACTTACTTCCTTAATCTCCTCAAATAAGTCAATTAGGTCTTATAATTAGGACCAGAGGAGTAGTATTTAGATTTGGGGATAATCTTGGTTAAATGCAACGGATCAGGAACACTATATCGTTTTGCTTCTGTTGCTCCCCGCTTCAGCTTTCCCTTCAACTCTGCAGCACCGCCGGCACCATTTCCCAATCGGCAATAGTCGCTCCTTGCTCTGCTTTGCCCAGCAACTTTAATTGTATTATGATCTTTAAATTAAGTACATTAAACTTTGGGCTAAAGACATTTTTTTATTCAAAATTCTACCACCATGGCACCAGCCAAATGTCACTTCTCCCCAAAATCGTGATAAGTTTCTGTATGATTTTCAGGAAAATCTAATTCGAAAAGGGGAAAAAAAAGCAAAACAAAACAAAAATGATAGCTTCTTCATCGTTTTCCTGTTCTCCTTTGGCGTTTTATGATGGCTTCAAGTTAAAGGGAGTCCGTGTGAGTTACAGTATCAGGGTCACCCAAATAGTGAAAAAGCTAGTCCTCCAATCCTTAACATAATTCTTGAGTTGATTTTTTCCTAAATATAAAACATATTTCTCATATTTATTAATTTTCTCTAAATTACCCTTATGGATACTCCCTCAACCATAATCAAGTAGAAGAGGGAGAGAGAATATTAAGAAAGATGATTATGGTGTTTTAAGAAAAAATGTCATATTTCTTATAATTAACTAATTTACCTAAGCTCCTTAATCTAATTAAATTAGTTAAATACTACCTCCGGTCCTTAATATAAGATCCCGTTTGACTTTTATTTTGGTCATAAATATAAGACCTTAATCTACTTTGTCTCTCATATTTATACATTATTTTTCAAAATAGTCCTTCTAATAATGATAGTTCTAGCCAATACACTTGATTACCAAATACTACCTCCAATCCTAATTATAAGAGCGAGTTGATTAATTTAAGGAGATTAAAAAAATAAATTATGTTAGTTATTTGTAATAAATAGATGTCGTCTTTTCTAAAATATCCTTACTAATCAAATGTATTAGCTAGGACTATTATTATCAGAAAGATTACTTTGAGAAAAAATGCACAAATATGAGGACAAAGTGGATTGGGGTCTTATATTTAGGACCAAAATAAAGTCAAATAAGGTCTTATATTAAGGACTGGAGGTAGTATATTTTAAGAAAAACAACACCTATTTATGTAAATAACTAACTTAACTTATTTTCTTACTCTCCTCAAATTAGTCAACTAGCTTTTATAATTAGAGCCGGAAGTAGTAAATCTTATATTAAGGACCGAAGGAGTGAAAAAAATACTATATCAACAAATTCTATGACTATTGCTGACTGGAAGTCGGAGTCGGTTTGTGCTGCAAAGTTGAAGGGAAAGCTGAACGGAAAAACGCCAACTGGGGAAGCATCAGGAGAGGTGAACTGGTGTGCGTTTCCAAGGAAGATGACACAGCAACGCCACGTGGAGCTGAGTTGGAAACAAATCTTTGCCACTTATTGCTCTGGTCCTATTTATAGGGCAGAGAGAAAAGACATTTTTTTGTCCTATTTATAGGATACTGAGAGAAATTTTTTGTATGGATGTACAACTTTACTCCTCATTTATTATTGTGTTGACTTTGTTTACATGAGGTATGATATAAATTAAATGGGAATAAAGTTAAAAAGTTATTAAATTGTAAATGAGAGTTAATGAAGTTTAAGGTTTTCTTTGGTATGTGTAAAACATACTGGAAGTGTCTTATAAATAGGACCGAAGGAGTAAGATGAGTTATAGATGGTAAGGATAATCATATAAAAATATGAAAAAACAAGGAGTTGAGTCACAGGCAAATCAAAAATTTGAGGACTAAATCATGCTGAATCACAGTTAAGGGATTAAATTATAAGTAAGTTAAAAATTAAAGGTCTAAAAGATTAATTTTCTGTTCGAATGATAATGAAGTTTTTATCAATTACTTTCGTTGAAATATTTAACATTTTACTCTGGATTTGCCTTTGCATACCATAGTTTAAACGAAGCAAAATGACCCATACTTTAAACAAAAGCAAAAACAGTTGGCAAAAAACAAAAGCAAAAAAAAAAAAGAAGAAGAAGAAGAAGAAGAGAAAAGAAAAGAAAACGAAAGCAAATGATCAAAGAGCTCTTAAATAAATGTTATAGAAAAGAAGCTATCATATCATGTCATGTATACATATATAGTATGTATCTATTATATATATATATATATATATATATATATAAAATTCTTTGTATACAAACTTATCCCACGCGCGAGGACAACCGCTCTATGTTAACTTAAAAACCACTTGAAGTTTCATGGAAACAACAAATTCAAGAATATTAGGGTCAAAAAACAAAAACTCAAGAATAAAATAATATATCATCAATCCCTTCAAACGAACGTCACTATACATATAAGTAAGTCGTGTTTCAGTATTGCTCGTCTCTGTGCTTCTGTTCTCTCACTTGGCGTCTAAAAATGATCCCTAACAATATTTCTTCTTTCGGATCAGTTCAGCAATACGATCATCATGATCCTTCATCTTTCACTTCTATCATGACGAATAATGTCTCCTTCGCGTCAAGCTCTGCTGCTTCAAACCCTAACTGCGACATTACTGCTTCGCTTGAGCAGGCTCCGGGCAACTCCAGTGGCACGGTGTTTTCCAGCGAGCATGAAGGCACCATGAAACCATCAGCAGGTGGCGACAGGGCTGATAATAATGTTAGTAGTAAGGCAGATTCTGTGGCGCGTGAAAGGAACGCGCCGCCTAGATGGAGGAATTACAGAGGTGTAAGGCGTCGGCCGTGGGGGAAGTTTGCAGCTGAGATCCGGGATCCGAAGAGGAACGGAGCAAGAACGTGGTTAGGGACATATGAGACGGAAGAGGATGCAGCATTGGCTTATGATAGAGCTGCTTTTAAGATGAGGGGTAGAAAAGCCAAGCTCAATTTTCCACACCTCATTGGGTCGGAATCGCGGCCAGAGCTACCGGAAAGATTAGTCAGCGAGACGACACGGCAGTGCCACTCGCCGGAATCTTCATCGCCGTCAGTGTGCGCATCTGAGGATAACGGTGGATCTCAAGGATCAAGTAGTAGGAAGAAGAGGCTGACTAGTCTGTTGAATAAATTAGCAACAAATAGAGGCCAAGGCAGAAGCTTGAAATAATAATGGATTAATACTGATGATGATCTATTATTTCTCTTCTCCTACACACTTTTTCTTCCAAAAAATAACTTCATGTAATTCTGTATGTTGGTGTCTAATGATGATTTTTGTTTCTTTGTTTTCAAAAGTCTAGCTGCAGTTTTGAAATTGCCATAAAATAATATTTGGGGTGCGTTACTACTAAGATTTTACTCAAAGAAAATCTTTGATTATCAAATTATTCTATCTGTTAATAATCATTTCCTCTCATCAAGCTAATTACCATTGTTCACATAATAAATAATATCTAAAACTAGAGGCAGTCTGTTAAGTGAGAGAGATTAGTTTTTGCTATCGACGATGATGTTTTTGGTTTTGGAAAAAAAAAAAAGACACGGTTGACGCTAACATCATTTTGAAAAAATCTTTCATCCAAAATACCACTATTCATCTATGTGATAGTATCATGAATTTTTAATTTGAAGGAAAGAACCAAAATTAAACTAAATATACATACCATTTATAACATTCTAAATTGCATTGGGTGATTTGACCATAAGTATATGGAAATTTTTTACTTTAATTTCTTAATCAAAAGTAAACGAGATATGAATTTTTTGGTTAATAATTTATTTAAAGATTAAATTATTGAAAGAGTATAATAATGTCGTCCTATCCATAACTTAATGGGGGTAAAATTTGTTATTATTATATTATTTTTAACTATCTGTTGATATTTTATGGAGTTCAGAACTTTGCATGATAGATACCCTACGGGTGATGTCAAGGTTGACCCACGCCGTAATAATTAAATGTATATTTGATGTGGCTTATATTTTTATTACATAATGTGTACGGAAAAATTAAAATAAAAAAATTGCTTAAATAATATTGAGCATAACATATTTGAATTTGGTTGATCGATCGTTGATTGAAGGGCCGCCAACATGCGAGCACATGAACATGATTCCCAAATCTTTTGGGAATAAATGGATTAATTATTATATCATATGTTTGATATTAAATAACCAAACAGCTTTTTCAGATGTTAGCATTAGAAAACAGTAATCAAACATACACGTGAAGCTGGAAAATACTTCAATATAGTTCTTCAATAAAAGCAATTAAAAACAAAAGCAAAGAAATTATAATTAAAAAAGCACGATCTTAATGTGGGGGACAAAGTTTTGATCAAACAGCTAGATAGAATCAAATCAAAATTAAAGCATTCAGAGCATATATTTCAAATCATTTCAAAATAGCTAGTAAAACCATATTAAATTCATGGATATTCTTTCAAAAATAAATAATAATTATACTGAAATTAAACATGATTTAATCTCGTTTCATAAGCAGGAATTATACCTACTTATGCCTCGTGAATAGTGTTATTTGCAATATATTTTTCAGGATATTCATAAATCATGAGTAGTGTATTTTGTTGTGAAAACATAGTAGTGTGTTTCATTTTCCAATGCAAATTAAATATATGCATGCAAGTGTACCTAATAAAACATCAAACGTAAATTCACAAGGTATGATTCGTGCATTTTATTTGTCACATGATGCCCAACACATCTATACATGTGGAAGCGTGTCTAATTATTTACTTACCCGTCACAAAGCCCCTTTGAATATGTGTGTGTGTGTGCGTGTGTATTTTTTTATTTCAGGACCAAATAAGCATATTTAGCTAGAAGCGTGTGGTTATAAGACTTAAACAACGTTTTATTCTTTTCGAAAAAACTCGTTGAATATCTACTTAATTACTACTCACTTCAGATCTAAATATGAAGGGAAAATTCCAAAATATTTCTAAATTTTTAAATTCTCAAATTAGGAATGATTATAAAAATGTATTGTCATTTTATTTTCAAATAATGTCAATTGTTATTAAAGTATAGTAAACAAGACTGGTTTAAAATTTTGAATTTCAAAGATAATTTTTTTGAGATTCTCCAAAATATAAAACTTAATTGAAGAGTTTTATTTTTATTTTAAATATAATACTTCAATCTTTTTTGTCTCTGAAATTTATAATATAAATTTGTTTTAAACTATCCATTTCGATAATATATATTAAAGGTTTACTTTTGAAAATAATGATTGACTATAGTCTTTTAAAGGTATCAACACAAATTTATAACAGGCATAACTTAACTAATTTTTTTAATATTTGATTTTCTAACTCGTGTTTAGAATTGAATAAAGTATTTCTCTAATTTTTTGTATTTGTATGTGTTCGTTGTTGAAGATTCAACTCTCATTACCAGCACTAATTACTACTTATTAGTGCACCTTGAGCTTTCAAACACTTTAATCTAGTCAATTACAAGGTGGGTCTTAGTTGAAAAATACAATATGGTAAAACAGTTTAATTTTCAAATTACATATTTTAATTTGCATTCAGACTGAAAAGCAGTCAATCATAGTCTATTTAATTATAATATATATATATATATATATATATGTGTATATGAATGTCCCCCGCGAGACATGGAAAATTTATGCAGGTATGGTCATTGTTCAACTTACTTTCAATATATAATTACATAATACTCCTCCTGTTCTTAAGACAAGGTCTATTTAATTAATTTGATTAGACTAAGAAAGTTAGGTAAGTTGGCTAATTATAAAAAACATGACGTGTTTTTCCTAAAATACTATAATCATCTTTCTTAATATCATCCTTCCCTCACTTACTTGATTATAGCTGAGGGATTATTTCTAAGGATAATTTAGAAAAAAAATGATAAATATGAGAAATATGTATTATATTTATGACTAAAATTAACTTAATAATTAAGTCTTATATTAAGAACCAAAAGAGTATAATATATATAGATGAGCCATCGATAGATGCTTTGGAGTTTCGTCAAAGGTCTCAATAAATCTTATGTTTTACATTTTATGTACTTTAAGATCAATGTCGTCAACATTTCGTTAGAATAGTAGTTGTGGACTGCGGTCAACAAAACATTTAATGTAAGATTAAAAAAAAAAAAAGACGTTTGATGCATGTATGCATGGAAAATATGATATACTGCCTCCAATATTTAATACAAGATACAATTAACTAATTTGGGAAGATTTAAAAAGTTACTAAATTACTTTAAAGTTTTATATTTATCATTTCTTTAAAACTAATTTACATTACTTATAAATTGATATATAATTTAATGTTACATATAAGTATTTTAGAAAGATCATGTAACATATATTATAATTAACTAATTTTTTAATCCCTTCAAATTAATCAACTGGGTCTTGTATTAAGAACATGATGTAGTTTTTTTTAAAAGTTGTTTAGTCATTATAAAAATTATTTACAAAACATATGTTACTGAGTTATTATGTGATCAGATATCTGTAAAATATAAGAAGATATGTAATGATATTGTATTTTGATGATAATCATCAACAGCAAAAGAATAATCAACAAATAGCTCATTATTCTGGAAGATAACATTAATTTAAAATTTTGGTAGGAAAATTGATTATCCTTTATTTGTTTGCTACCTTTGTTTTTTCATGTGAAGCATGAAATTGATGAAGAACTTCCTCATTTTCGGATAATTCAAAAGTGACTTATTCATTGGATAAACTCGTACATTATATTGATCTAAGTTGATCACTGATGCACAAAATTTTATCTTCATTAACTTCACAAGACCCCTTTGCTTGTACTATTAAATCAAATCTTAAACTTAAATATTCGCTCAAAAATCTTAAACTTAAATGCATAACATAAAATAAAGCAGATTCGGTCAGAACTCTTCTGCACGGTTTGTAAGAGCTTTTATTTAAGTTCACATTGGTCTAAAAAGCAATGCTTTATTGAACTTTGAAGTCAAGTTTGATTTCTTCAATGGTTTTTTATATGGGGTCCTATGTTGGTACGGTGCCACTGAATTACCAATGTGGCTTTGGGAATTAGCTTTCTCAAGAGACTTTTCAGAAATTTTTTGGGTCTTTTTTTTTATATATATAAGAGACTTCGTACATTTCTAGAAGTATTAATAATTACTTGTTTTTTTAGTATTTTTAATTATGTAGAGAGAGATAAGACTACACTAATTTAATAAACTTAAAGGAATGCTAATTTTAGAAAATGACTGAAAATATGAGTGTTCTTTTTCTCTCCCCTGAAAAAAGAGAAGAGAATATAATTACAGTGTGTCTCATTTTAAAATAAGCTTTCTTACTTATGAGTTGTAATCAATACAATTATTTATATTTTTATAATATATTATTCTAACTAAATTGAAAAGAAAATTAAAGGGTTGCGTATCTTTTTTTTTCAGCATTATCAAAAATATTTTTAAAATATCAATCAAGTTCAAACTCTTCGAAATTTGAATAAATTGCCTATCTTTTTACTGGTTTGAATAAATTTTGTTTTACATTATAGCTTAGTACTACATAAGCTCCAATAAGAAAAGGGTAAAAGGATATTTTGCATCTAAAATATTTTTCAAGTAACATTATTCACCTCAAAATACACATTGAGTAATGTTGTATCCCGAGTGTCAAAAGTATTATTTACACTAACCCATACACCCTTAACTTTAGCGACCATTTTCTTTTACATAACTATTTGGCTGAGTTAGATTCGATTATTATTGAGCTTAATTAGAAGCAATTTTCTTAAAAGTATTTTTTGTATTTACACTAATTAGAATTCAAGAGTTCATACTTAGACAATCAAAACTCCTTCCACCAAAACTAGCACAATGTTGGTAACTTTTTTTTTTTAAAAAAAAGTTACTCATAAATATTCTTCTATTGAAAGTAATTCTATTTGAGACATTGGTAGATAGTAAATATGAACACTTTTTCCAATAGAGATTTGAACTTTAATTTATCATGTTGTGACTAGATCTAACCTCGTTAATGACTATGTTGGTAACTTTAGAGGGACAGTTTGATGATTTCACTATCAGCGGTTTATGTTTATGTTAAAAAAAAACCGAGTTTAAGGAAATTTGGGGAAAATATGCCTTTAATAACCGTAATAATAA